GTCGTACTTACGGCGTACGACGAATGCGCAGGGGGGGGGGGGGGGCGGGGAGGCCTAACATCGTGTTTGTGGAAGGTATAATTGATGCAGGACCAGCCGGGAGATTGCGTTTGCCCTTAAGAGTTTGGAACTGGGTGGAGAAAATATAGGTTGTCTTCGTTACTCGGCCTTTGGTGCGCGCCCGGTCGCCCGCGGTGCAACACGAGGATGATATATTCGCTGCAACTGCGCAGCTGCGCCGCGCCACGCCATACCGCGTCGGTCGTTTCATGAGATTTCGTAACTGCCCGCTTCGTACTACCTTGCGAAAACAATGGAGACGTCCTCCTCGTCAAGCTGTAGAAAAACATTTTATTTTTATAACGTCTTTTGCAACGCGTACCGTACGCGTACGGGTTCATCAGTCACTCAACTTCCCTTCTTTGAAGGACCAATAACGCACGTCGAATAAGATATTTAAAGGCACTATATTTTCCCAACGTTTTAACTTGATTGGGAGAAAAGGATTTATAATGTGAATTTATAAATAAGAAAATTTCGCAGTAATTTCGAATTACCGTTACGTAAGATTACGTGAATTGGAAGCACTTGACGCGTAACGTGATGAAATTACTCTGTCTCTTAATAACTATAGTCTCGAGTAATGTTTAGGAAGGAAGACTTGAGACTTTTTGCGTCGGACAAAGCGGGGCCGTATGTAACTCAGTTTCACAGCGGGGAACAGTTTTCTTGCGCGTCGTGTGAACGACTTAACTAATTAGCGTTTTGCGCGAAGCGCGACCGTGAAGAGGCGGTTTTTTTTCGCGTGTAGCTCACTCCGTTACCGTTAGAACCGCGAATGCATCGAGAATGCACCGAACAGTGTGGAGCCTATTAACCGTAATCAATGACTGTGCATTTTACTGTCGGCGATTATGCGAGCCTCATTGTTACCGCGAGATCCTCGGGCTCGCGCCTAGCAGTATGGATTCCCTGTTGCGATGAATCTTGATATTTCTTCACGCGACGCGTACGCAGATAAATCGTAGATTAGAAGTCGATCGGCGAAACGGTCAGCAAGTACCTACATTCAGTCCAGCGGCATGAATGCAACACCTGCTGGATTCCAAGTTCACAATGTCATTGCCAAT